CGGATCTTGTAGCAGTAGACGGACCATCCACCTCCCTCTTTCACAAAAATACAAAACAGTTAGTTCATCGGCATTTGTTACAGTCGATTGGGGGGGGGGGGCTGTTATAATGGCTGGTACCAACCAGGGGGTTGTCTCCCATCATTTTCTCGTGCTTTGGCCGCGCGTAAAGTCGCGTACCAAAAATCTTCACCATCCAAAATCATTACCTAAAATCATTGCTTCTAAAGTCATTACTAAAGTCATTACTTAAATCATTACTTAAAAGTCGTTACTTCTAAAATCTAAGCTATTTTATAAATATGCCGAAAACTGGTAATCCGGCATACCAAATTTTGTAACGTTTGAAGTAATGACTTTAGAAGTAATGTTTGAGTATGTCTACAAAATCTTTTATCAAAAGACATGAAAAAATTAAAAAAAACCTTTTTATTGTCTAAGTTTCTTCGTCAAAAAGGCCTCTAAAAATTGTTCCGAGTCGTTGCTAATGTTAGGACTGGAACGTAGTTGTAATCGACACCCAGCAGGCAAAAGAGGGCGATTCTCGGCCTTCCTAGGCCCTTTAAATCAATCTTAAAACGTCAATTGTGGTTTTTTGAGTTGACATTTCGATGGATTATTCACCGCGATTTTTCATAACGATTGATTTGCGCTAATTGAGTATGCAACCGAATTTTCGGCGGGCGCGTTGCGTGCCACGGCAAGGGGAAATCTGGAGCGATTCCACAGCCGAAAAATCCATAGATCGATAGTCATGCCTTGTCAGCCCCTTTAAAGGAACTGTATTTTTGAGAAAATAAGCCGATTCCATTCTTTAATTTACCACGATATAATCCTCCCATAACGACCACCCATTTTCTATCGGATTTCTGGTGGTGGTGGTCGGGGTTTTCGTGGCTTTGGAAGGGGATGTATGTGTGGTTATCTCTCTCTCTCTCCCCCTCTCTCTCTCCTCTGTCTCTCCAGGAGGAACAGGTCCTGTCTTGACTCCGTACCGATCGCCGTAGACGGACGGGATCCCCCCTCCTCATCCTCCTCTGGGGGGCTGGTTCCACCCTCGAGCTCCAAGCCTCTAAAGTACAGCCTCCCACCCCTGGGGGGCGATGACCGAGTCTGTATGGATCCAAAATGACCGCTCGACACCTTAAGACAGCCCAACGGGGCTTAGGATTTATTAGGCCTGGGCCTAGGCTCGGGCTTTTGCTTGGGCTTCGGCTTAGCTTCGTTTTTGTTATTTATCAAGGTTTTTGCCTTTTCTAAATAATTTGATAGCAAATACTCAGTGCGTGCCAACGTTTTCTACGCTGGTTACGGCATATAGGAGCTCGAAATTACCATTTTCAGCATATTTCTGTGGGTTCCGCGGCTTGTCAGGGCCATTAACAGGCAGAATAATGTGAGAATATCCAAATTACATACTAAGACTTTCAAATTGCTTTTTTCGGGCCTCTAGAAGCTTCTAGGTGCGCTTAAAAACCAAAAACATTTTTTTTGGAATCAGGTTACCTGATAGTTTGTTGTTAAAAATCGAATCTTAATGAAGCTTATACTTTTTTCACTGATATATGCATTTTATACTTTTTAAAACGTACCTTACGACGGTATTTACTTTTCATTGCAGCTTAATATTATCATCGACTGCTTGAACTACGAATTATGTTAGAAAATAGCTGAATATGAGGCTCCGATTCCAGAAAAAACCTTCAATTTTTTTTGACTTTTCATTTCTCGAATTGTTGATAATTTTTGGCTTTGACTTTCGAATCCCATGCCAATAGTTCCCAAAACTTGCTAAGCCTATATTTTCCTAAATTTGAAACACACAAAATACAAATCCCACGAGAACCCCCAAGTCGAAACCCTCGAAACCACATCCTCCCATCCTCCCCTCACAAAGAAACCGTGCTGTTTGCTGCCACCTTGAGAAGGAGAAGGGGGAGGTGGTAGAAGAGGAGAACGAGCCGGGGATCCTTAAGCTGTTTATGTTTTTCTCGTCCCTCCATCCCTCCCTCTCAAACGCGTCACGTCGATTGAACCTCGTAAATACTTGAACGCAACAGTCTGCAAGGAGCATACTTATCTTTTGGATTCTGACCCTCGAAGATTCAATCCGATTTCACGCGGAATGTCGCGCTGGTAGGGCTTAGTTTTGGAATTAGGCTTAGCTTAGGCTTAGCTTAGGTTTAGCTTAGGCTTAGCTTAGGCTTAGCTTAGGCTTAGCTTAGGCTTAGCTTAGGCTTAGCTTAGGCTTAGCTTAGGCTTGGCTTAGGCTTAGCTTAGGCTTGGGCTTAGCTTTAGCTTAGGCTTGGGCGTAGGCTTGGGCTTGGGCTTGGGCTTTGGCTTAGTTTTTGCTTAGGCTTAGGCCTGTAATTTTTTAGGTATTTGACGTAATCCCGATTTTATTCCGATTCCACGCCGGCCGGACTCGCGTAGTAGGCCTGGGTAGATCACGATTACACTCATTCTCTTCCCCCCTCCCGCCCCGGTCCCTTCGATAAGTCCGACCCCTAAAATGATACGCCTCCTTTCGGATCTGTCGAATTTTTCAATTCCCATTGCCAATTCCCGATTCATCACATATTCACCCCCTGACATTTTACAACCCGCGACATGACATTTGGGAGATTCTAATTTTTTCCTTCCTGATTTGATAAGGCTCGATTTTTAGGCAGGTGATTTTGAATTCAGATATCAAATGTCGGCCCTTTAAGATAATCCTATATTTCCATCTATTACTAATACAAATTTTAGCGATATTCAAAATGGAAAAACTACCATAAAAGCTGGGAAATTTGCAATTTTTAGTCGAAAAATCGATAATTTCTGTATTTATGTTGTTGCAACTTGTAAGAACTTCAAAAAGGGGAAAACCTCTGTTAGAAGATTTATCGTAGAAAAATAGAATCTAAAAAAAAGAATTCCCCTAAGAACCCCCGATAATGCTCAAGCACCCAAATTCACTATTTTTTTTGCAGGGAACAGGAAAGGCATTACATTCATTTTTGTTTAGTGAAATACCAGCGTTGTCCCTCCTCTTTAAGAATAATGAAAGCGGCAGTTTCAGATATTAAGACAAAACCCGGCGCCAAAAGCGCACCACTTTTCCCCCAGTTCGCCGAGTTCCGTTTCAAAACTGTTGACTGTCACTTTGGAGGTTGATTTACGGGGCATATCGTGGCAGATTTCACCCAAAAATTGGCATAGGCCATTGCTAAAAGGCGCCCTTTAGCCTCACCCAACCCGCTGGACCAAGCTCGACGAATTTGCCAAGAGACCCGGGGTCATCTTATAGCTTTCTCGCATCATCCAACACACCCAAAATGATAAGCTCCCATCAAAAACTTTGTGTGTGCCGGATGGTCAAATCAACGGGCAAAATCTGCTGCTGGAAATGGCCAGTTTTTGGTGGTGGGGCAGAGAACTGTTTTTGGCGAACAAATGTGTGCGTCCGGCTTTCTCTCTCTCTCTCTCTCCCTCTCTCTCTCTCGCCTTTTCCCATCACCCGACCCACCCGACCAAAAGTAGCCATCACCGCCACCTCCACCCACCCCAGCCACAACACAATGCAAATCGGACGGGCTTTTCGTTGCCCGCCTTTTTGGAGGCGGTTTCTCTTTCTCCCGGCCAACCTTTTACGGCTTCTTCTGTTTTCTTTCTTACCTCTCGCAATTTGTAATCCAATTTTGCCATTTACGAGACTGTACGCTACAATTTTGGGGCATTTCCAGACTTGACCGGTGATTTGAGGTTCGCACACTTAATGGTTTGGATCCGATAATTTATATTTAACGGTAAATCAGGCTAATTATTATATCCCGGCTGCTTGTTTATGATTTAGTTGCGGAAATTGACGTTAAATTTTTCTCGAAAAAATATTGGTTTCTTGGATTGCGTTTGAAACGCACGTTCTGGCGTAGAAGCACCTATTGACGTAGGGTGATTGGGGTACAAAGCAAGGCGCAGGTGTTCACAGGTGTATACGTAGGTCTTAAAGGAGCCGGCAAGGCATTCCCAAGACTTTTTTTGGAGCTTTTAGAGCCTATAGATTGTTCGCGCCCGCGACACGTGACGCACCCAGCTTGGCTTTTCCTTGCGTAATCGGTTGATCGAGCGCCAAAACTTCAAAATCGTTAACTTTAACAATTTTAAGTGGTAGCTGAACTCCAAATTTTCACACCTCTTATCTATGACCACCCCTTTAAAGTATCAATTCCCTACGGAAAATTTCGGTAGGCAAAAGCAGAAAAACCCGAATGAGCGCGAGAGGGTGCTAAATTGTGCTCAGCAAATGGCTATCCCTCTCCTCGGCGCTTCTTTATTTGTCTTCAGGGAATTTGTCGGAACTGGCTGCGAGGGGCTAGACAAAGGGTAGTGAAATATGACAGTTGCTCTGTTACGAGTTTTACTCGAGACGACGACATCCAAGACACGCGTGATCAGCACAGCGGGTTAAGAGGAGCATTTGGAATATCTTGCCGTAACTTAATAAAGGGTGCTAAAGGGACTAGCAAGTCATGACTAGGGTTCCTTATGGATTTTCAGGGCCTGTCACGCAACGCGTACGCCGTCTTTCCAATGGCGTAATGGATTAAAATTTTTGCGCGGTTTTTCGCGGCTCAACGCGTTGTCTTTTGCGCTGCGTGTTGCGTTGCGTCTCACGTTGCGTGTCATGGCACAAAACCGGGAAAATACTTAGCGAAGCCATAGACAAAAAATCTGCAGCCGTGCCTTGCATGTTCCTTTAAAAATGCGATCTGGATTATGATACCGTTATGTAATGAATAAAACCAATACAACTTATAAAACCCGTTAGAAACCTATTGGTTTACAATTGCCCATCCCCTTAAAATGTACGCCTATGATTATCCTATCGTGATGTAATAATCTCTCTTAAAGGTATTAGAAAAATATTTATTTTGTTTATCACTTTTTTGATGTATCACTCACTTTTCTCTCTTTTTCATGGAACATCATTAATACGGCAATCGCTCCTTTTCAAGATGCGCGGCCTCCGGATATGGGTGGGCCGGATTCTATTGTTATTGGCCGGGCTCCGAGAAGCCGCAGCCAGCCTCCAGTCGTTTGATGAGCCCTTCGTGCGGCAGTGGCTGAACAAGAGCGCCAGCCTCGACCTCAGCGCCCGGTGTACGGAGAGTTTGGCACGGGTGAGTTTCGAATTGGTTTGTTTTATGATAAATATTGCTAGCGCTGCTCTCGTAGCTCTCTCTCGCTCTCTCTCTCTCTCTCTCTCTCTCTCTCTCTCTCTCTCTCGTCTCTTTCTCGTCTCTCACTCGCTCTCGCTCTCTCTGCTATCTCGATCTCTCTCCTCTCTCACTCGCTATCCTTCTCGCTCTCTCACTCGCTCTCTCTCGCTCTCTCTCGCTCTCTCTCTCTCACTCTCTCCCTAACTCTAAAGGCACAGTGACAGCTCCAATAAGCCATTTCTTAGGTATGGCCCTATCTCAACATGCACGACACCTTCGAACTCCAAAGAAATTACTACCACCAGTCATTCGGAGCAGGTTAACCGGTTACGACATTTTAAAACCCATCCGCTCCAGGGCCAGCCTGGCTCTTCCTCAGTCGAGACCAAGACCGATGGGTCTACCGGGGCTACGAGTGCCTGCTCGCTGCCGGAGAGACCGTATATTCCAGATCCGAGCACCCCATGCATTTTTGCTACGGTGGGTGTGGTTGGTATCTTAAAGTACTTTATAATACCATATTTAAAATACCTTATTCTTTATTTAGGCATTAATGAAAACGAAGAGCCGGGGACGGAGGCGTACAGCATTTGCATCCCCAGCCCGTGTGAGAAGGAGCACAAGCAGGTGCGTCTGAGAGAGTGCGAAAGAGAGAGGGAGAGAGAGAGAGAGAGAGAGAGAGAGAATGAGAGTATGATCAATTTCTTTATACCTTTAGCTGCTCGGTCTCTGGCAAGAGGTGGTAGATGAGGAACAGGCCGACGCGTCCAAGATGGACTTTACAAGCTGTATCGCGTCCAGGCACGAGAAGCAATGGTGAGTTCTTTAGACTAAAACGTACTTTAAAGGTCTACGGCAAACCCTAAAGGCGCTCGCGAGGCAAAAATCTGTGACATTTTTGCTCAAAATCTCAATTCCCGTCAGGTTCGAGCTCCCGATCCCGGTTGCCGATTTCATCTTCAACGCCATGTTGTCGTTATTCGTCTGCTTGGCCACTGTATTCCATATGCACCGTGGTGATGACGTCAAGTAAGGAGATGACCAAGTTTTAGAAAACGTACCAACCTTTAGGACGATGAGCCAAAAGATGCTGCTCTGCTTCTCGTTGAAGAAAAACCTGAAGAAGGCGACTTGCTACCCGAAAGACCCCCAATCAACAATCACTTGTATGTTCGGGTTACGGTTGGTTTTGGCTAGGATGCAGGGTAGAATTCGACACTTTAGGTTCCTTACAATGGCCTGGACCCTGATCGGTCACTCGTTCATCTTCATCCAGGCCTACCTCGGCAACGTGGACGAGTTCAAGGACGAGATGGTCAACTCCTTCTGGAGGCAGTGGATTACCAACTTTACTTTGAGGTAGGGTGACTGGAAAATTGTATCTTTCACTGTATTACAAGCCATGTATTTGTTAACATATATATTTCAGCGTGGACGTCTTCCTGACGCTCGGCGGGACGGTGTTGTCCTATTCTTGGTTCAGGAAGTGGTTGAAGAATACTACTGGTGAGTAAACGCTGACTAGGCCAAAGACTAAGCCTAAGTCTAAGGGAAACAGAATCTGAAGCCGAAGCTTAAGCTTAACCTAAGCCTAAGGCTAGCCTAGGCCGTAACAACCCCTTTAAAAGTCAACCCCTCTCATTCCAGAACCCGAACCCTCGTGGAACTCTTGGGGCTACTGGTTCCGCTTCTACCAGCATCGCATCATCCGCCTCTGGCCCGCCTACCTCTACACACTAATGGCGGTGACGTTGAGGCTATCAGGTAGGATAGTTGGTGGATAAAATACAGTATCCGGTTGCTTTAGTGACCCATTGGCATCCGATGTGGCCACCAACCGATCCGGCCATTCAATGCCCAAAATACTGGTGGCAGAATGCGCTTTTCATCAACTCGTTGACACAGAATAGATGTATGCCATGGACTTGGTAAGTTGGGAGAGAGAGAGAGAGAGAGAGAGAGAGAAAAAGAGAGCGAAAGAGAGCGAAAGAAAGTGAGTGAGCGAGAGATAAGCCTTCCCTTTTCAGGTACATCGGCACCGAGTTCATCTTCTACGTCGTTTCTCCAATCTTCCTCCTCTCTCTCCGGAAATCCCCCAAGTTCGGGCTTCTTGTTTGTAAGTGTTGACGAGCTTTCAAGATCTCAGTCATGCAACTGAACTACCGTAATCCACCCATCGGAACGTCGCATTTTAGGCATCATCACGATCCTTGCTTCCGGAATCTTGAACGTCGTCACCATCCTCCAGGAGAACTTCCCGCCAACTCAATTTTTGTGGAAGCAACCTGAGATTTTCAACCCTAATTTTATCCAGGTGATTAGGCATTGGTTTATCTCTCTCTCGCTCTCTCTCTCTCTCTCTCTCTCTCTCTTTCTCTCTCGTTCTCTCACTCTCTCCTCATCCTCAATCTCTCTGTCTATCTCCCCCCTCGCCAACTCTCGCTCTCAATGACCCTCTAACTCCATGCCTTTTCAGCATCACGTCCAGCTCTACATCAAGCCCCAATACCGTATCGCCCCCTACGTCATCGGCATCCTGCTCGGCTACTACCTCGCCAACTACCAGAAGGTCAGTTTTTGCTAATTTTCATTGGTAATCTCTTCTCAAAAATGAACAGGTCCCTAAATACCAGCCACCTTTTTAGGCGCCACTGTTACGCGGCGAGAAATACGCCTCAAAACCCGTAGGCCCTTTATTTGTCGCTTGGGCGTTGTTGTCACTCTATCTTTCTGTCGCTCCTCCTTTAAAATGTGCTGCTTCTAACCTACTGTACCTACCTGAATTATGAGAATTGATTAGATTTTCCCTTAGTAATTTAAGTTATGTAGCTTAAGGGGTTTAAGCCTAAAGCTAAGCCTAAACCTAAGCCGAAGCGAAAGCCTAAAAATAAGCTAAGCCTAAGCCCAAGCCCAAGCCTGATCTTAAACAAGCTCGATGACTGACAGTTTAATACCTTTAAAAAGTGTGACACCACCCTCCTGTCCAGCGCTTCCTTTCCCGGCTTCTACCCCTGCTGGCACTATCCCTTTAAGGGGTCTAGAAAGGGCCAGGATCAGCCCCCCTGGTCGACTAGGTCTAGACAGCTACAAGTTGTACCAAACGTGCTGCTCCGCCATGTGCAGCGCCAATTTAATCGTGTTTTGGCACTTTTGTGTAGCTGTCGAGACCTAACGGCCTCACGGGTCGATTCTGACATTTTCTAGACCCCTTAAAACGCGTGAGACCGCTTTATTTCCCGAGTAGATATGGAATTTAGCAACCATTAAATTTTTAGGGCGCCTCCAAGCAACCTCGCAGTCGTAGCTTCGTCTTGGGAGGCTGGGCGATGGCCCTGTTGGCAATGTTCCTGTCGATGTATGGGCTCTACCCGTCGCTACAGGTAAGAGAGAGAGAGAGAGAGTGAGAGAGAGAGAGAGAGAGAGAGAGAGAGAGTGAGAGAGAGAGAGAGAGACAGAGTGATAAAGAGAGAGAAAATTCGGAATTATTCTAAACCTATATAACCATATTTTTAGGGCTGGGACTGGGGTGTTTACCACACTCTCTACGGCGCCACCCATCGTGTCATCTTCTCGCTGGGCTTGGCCTGGGTCCTTTATGCTTGCCATACAGGTCAGTTTTTACGACCAGGATTGTTATACAAACCTTATATATATATATATATATATATATATATATATATATATATTTTTTTAAGCTTATGGAATTTAAGCTCGTTTTAGGTATTGGAGGCCCGGTGAATGCGTTGTTGTCCTGGTACCCGATGGTTCCGCTGGCAAATCTGTCGTACTCAGCATATCTCTTCCACATGATCCCGGTTAGTAATTTTGATAGTTGCAATATTGCTCTCTCGCCCCCCCCCCCCCCCCCCCCCCCCCCCCCCCCCCCCCCCCCCCCCTCTCTCTCTCCCTCCATCTCTCTCCTCTCGCTCTCTCCCTCTCTCTCTCTCTCTCTCTCCCTTTCTCGCTCTCTCTCTTTCTCTCTAGATCTTGCTCACCCTCTCCCTTTTCAGGTCGTCCTCACATACCTCCTCGTGCCGTTCCCCATCATGAACAACTCGATGTGGTACATCTTTGCCCACTGCGCCGTGCAGTTGGTTATTTCGTGAGTTTTTCAAAGTCTAAGCCTAAGCCGAAGTCCAAGCCTGAGCCCAAGCCAAGCCTAAGACTCAGCCTAAGCTTAAGCCCAAGCCTAAGCCAAGCCTGAACCTGAGAATCCTGCGCCTAATCTTAAGCTTAAGACTAATCCGAAGCCTTAAGACTGAATCAAACCTAAGCCGAATACCAAACGTCGCTTCCCGATTCAACTTCCTCCATTTCAGCTACGTGTTCGCCTTCATCTGTTCCACTTCCGTCGAGTACCCGGCCCAAAACATGGAGCGTCTCCTGCTCTACAACACCCCCAAGAAGTCCCACCTGAAACCGGTACAGACCGCCGAATCCGAGCTGCAACTCAAGGACTAGTCGTGTGATTTTCAAGAGCTCTATGTCGTCCAAAGACACCCTCTTCTTCCCCGTTTTTTCCCTCCGATTGTGATACTTGTACATATTGGGCGTCATCGTTCCGGTCCGGGTAGCGCGATTCCCCCTCGTACCATTTTTTAATAGTTTTTTTTGCCTTTTTTGCAGGTTTTAAAAGGGGTTGGATTTATTTTAGAGTTTTTGAAATTTCAGGGATGGGCAAGGAAAGCTTTCTATGAATTTTCTCAACAGTTTTCCGTGCCCGCGATACGCAATGCGTAGCATACCGTCGCGCTAGCATGGCGTAACCGGAATTTACGCGCAGACATGCGGCCCGCGCATCATCCGATGCGCTGCGTGTCGCGTTGCGGGTTGTTTTGCGCGCCAGCATCCAAAATATGCGAAAATGTGCGCTTCGAGTAGTGGGCGCGTTGCGTATCTGATGCGGAAGGTTTTATTCCATTGCGTAATCGATTATCGAATGTACGTAACGCAAAACAGCGCGCGCCGCGTGCCGCGTTGCATTTCGTGGCGCGGCGGGTCGATGACCATCCGATTCGGGGCATAACCCATTACGCAATGGAAAAGCAAGGGCGTGCGTTGCCTATCGCGGTTGCGGAAAAAATTCAAGGCAAATCCATAACGCAAAATCCATAGCTGACTATGCCTTGCCAATCCCTTTAGAAGTCAAAAGAACTAAATAAATCCAGCTCTTTGTTCAAAACCACTTTCCTAATACGGGTCCACCATCTCCCCCATAATATCCGCCCATCCCAGTCTCTCCTACAACAAACAAATTACGTCGCTTTGAAGCCAGTCTTTCTCATCCTGTCTCTCCCTCTCCCCGGCAAATCGTGTCGTGCCTCATTGTCCGGCGTTTTATAGGCAGGCGGACGGGCTTCAGAAGGCGTGAGCGGTCGCGTCGCGTGTCCTAGAGACAATCAGACACTCGAGGCGTCCTCAACGCGTTCACGGCTCTCCCCTGCCCCCCCCGCCCTTGATATTGTGATCTTTACATTTGCATTTTTTGAGTATAAATCGTACAAAATGAGTGAGCCAACGAGAGAAAAACGAGAGAGAGAGAGAAGAAGGAGAGAGATAGAGACACAGACTAAAAATTGGGCCGAGTAGAGATTCTTTGCTTCTCGAAGAAAATCAACTCGCTTTGAATATCAAGGAGCACTTCACAATGCGGGAAAATCAAGGAGCATTTCATAAACAACCCTCCGAGGCAATGTTAGGTCTCCTTCTCTTCCTGGGTATGGTGACCCTGGCAAGCGGCCAAAACGCCCCGAATCCGATTTCGGATGTGAATCAAAGACCCGCTTCGATGGAGCTCAAGTTCAAAGAGGACAGGGTAAGGAATACGGTAGTGGTCATCTACTTACCTAGAGGGCTGGCGTTCTTGGCTATAGGTGCAATTGGGATTCACGACAAAAATCCATGATCTGCCTTACTCATCCCTTTAAGAAGCTCGAGCTCGTCCCCCCCGTCCTCATCTTCACCGCCATTTGCATAGGATCAGGTGAAGAACAAAAAAAAACAGATAAATCTCTCTCTCTTACAGCCCTCCTCTGCATGGCCGTCTTCTTCCGGTACCAACTCTGCTGTGGGCAGAATCGAAATGAGCATGGGAATCCCGGCCATCCAAATTTAAGCTGTTTTAGATGCCAGCACTGCCACGGCAAGGACAGCTGTACTTGTTAAAAACACAACAAAGACGAATTAATACTCAGAACGGCATTAACAGAGATATTTATATCCTTATTGATACTTGCGATAAATGGTTTACGTTGTTTCACACCTCGCCTTTTTCATAATGAACCTAACCTATAAAAATATGTCAGGGGAAAAATTTTATCTTTACGTCAGTGCTTACCTGCCAACAATGTGTAACGTATTTTATCGTCTTTTTGGTACATTTGTTTTGGTAGTATTTTAAGCTAACTTTTCTGCACTCTTTAGATCTAAAAATCCGTAAATGTTGTAAAAATTGGCTATATTAGAACATAAGGCCCAAGCCTAAAAGTTTGGAGCGCAGGAACCACCTCTCGCCTACGACCATACCACGTTGAAAGCACGGCATCCCGTCCGATCTGCCAAGTTAAGCAACGTTGGGCTCGGTTAGTACTTGGATCGGAGACGGCTTGGGAATCCCGAGTGTCGTAGGCTTTTTGCTTTTTGATGCCATTAAAATTTTGCATTATCACTATTAGCATGTCACCGACCGGATGTAATCCAGACTGTATTCTAAAAATTACCGACGTGCATTCTCAGCCCCTTCCGCAGGGATGTCTGGTTGGCCCTTTCCATCTTCCCCATTCGCATATTTTGCAGGAAACGCTCGTAAACCACCGTCATTCGACGAGACGCCCGGCTTTGCCTGGGTCGAGCAGGCGGTCAAGAATGGTATCTGGGACGTATTGGAGGTTAGTAGATAGTTTTGATTGTGTTCGCCGTCGTCTAAATTCGGTCCATTTTAGAAATGTGCCGAAAGGATCAATGAAGCCAAGGAACTGGAGGCTGACATGCTCGAGCTCACGATGACCCTCAACGCCGAGAAGGAGAAGATTGATCTCTTGAAATACGAGGTAAATACAAAAATGGAATCAAAACCTATTAACCGAGCTAGAACGACAAGCTGAAGCGCGAGCTGGAGGCGCTGAAGAGCGACTCCAAGAAAGAAAATTACGAGCTGAAGCACGAGGTAAACAATTTTCCAAGATTTATACCCCCTGTTTGGAAGGAGAATCTGCTACAAATGGTGGACGAGTTGGAGAAGGAAAACGAAGAGGTGCGCAGCATCCTTGTCAGCAAGGAAAAAGCCGAGCGCTTGGCAGAGGTTATTCATGAGAAGTTTCTCATTTTCCGCTTTCAGCCGACCCCATCGCTCCTCACCGAACTGAACCCCGACTTCTACGAGGACACGAAGGTCGTCGACAAGATGCTCGACCGCAATAAGCAATAATTCTGAATTAATTCGCGCATTAACCCCGCATCTGTTTGTATTGAAATATCGAACATACACGATTCCAACTGTTTTGTAATAAATATTTTGATAATCCCGCTGTTTCGCATGCATTTGATACTTTCAGCGTTCACCAACAAAAAACTCGTCTTTCCAAGTAATTCAGAGCAGCACAATGATGCGAGCATGTTTCTCTTCAAATAGATCTTCATGGCATGTAACCTGCTTATTACGTACAAGGTAATCTGAACGGCAAAAATTTATCAACGTAACAAAACATCTCAAACAAAAGTCTAAAAACCTCAAACAGGTTCCTCACCAATATGAATCTTCTCAAAGGGCGCGGTTATCATTGTCTCCTCATTGCTGCCCGCCAATACTGCAGTCTCCTTGCGCATTTCCTCCAGCTGCCGCGCCCTCTCCTGCTCTAGAGCCTCCTTCTTATTCGCCATCGTCTTCTCGTAAATCGGGATGTATTCCTTCTTATATTCCTCGACAGATGCCTCAATGGCCTGGCACACGTCATCCATCCCTTCACCGGTATATGAACTTGTCGCAACAGTCCGCAGATTCGCATAAAAATCGTCGAGCACCAGGGAGAGAGAACGGCTCAAGTCGGACATATAGCTCGACTTGCCCTCATCCAAAGCCGCGCCGAATTCTTCAAAATCTTTCATCCATCTCATCGCAAACGTCGGCTTCACGATGTCCGACTTGTTGAACACGATCACGAACGGCAGTTTATTCCGGTACAGAATCGAGCACGCGTAGAGCATATTTGACATGAAGTTCGTCGGGTTCGCGACTCTGGCCGAGTCGACAACATACACGACCACCGTTGGTTGCTGACTTGCCAACGAATCCGTGATAATCGAGCCGGACGCGGACCAGGTAAAAGCTTCAATCTGTCCCGGCGTGTCGAGAAGGCACATCGAATACGTCGAGCTGCGCTGCTTGATTAGATCCAGCACCTTGTCGAATCTGGTGCACATCAAGTTCAGCGAGGTCATAATTGCACCGTTGGGGCCCAGTCCGTACTCCTTCATCACGTCCTTGTACTTGACGGTGTCCCGGATATCGATGTTGACCGGGTAGGGGAGTTTGTGGACGGCCGGGTCCAGGTTTACGATGTAGGGCGGAGTTTTCTTGGCGTGTAGATGAGCAGTCAGCCGCTGGACGAACGACGTCTTGCCGGAACCAGCCATGCCAAGGACGATGACGGCGGGCGGGAGGCTGGTGTCGGGTCCCGGGTTCGCATTTGGCACTTCTGTTGTCGCTGAACACGAGGGCTCGCCTGACATCTTCGATTACCTGGAAAGGGACAAATATTAGTCAATTAACCCAGTTTCATAAAGCTGGAAAACATAGAACACTTGACTTAGGCTATCCAAATGGAAAACTGAGAATGATACGTTAGAACGTTCTAGAAATTTGACGAGTTTGGAAAAAAGAGCCAATCTAAGCCCCCGCAACCGAATAACCGATAATAATACGTTACAAAGTTGTATATAGTTGAAAAAAAGGATAGATTTCTACAGATTTAATAAAATTTCAAGTAGGAGAATTTCAAGGTTACGAAAGTTCACAAATCTCGCTCGTTTTGCCGGTCATCGGCTCGGGGATACGGTGGTAGCAGCAGGTTTTACGGAGCTAGGTGCGCCCGAAACTCGCGGCAATTCGACTGCCCGATTTTTCTTTCACAGTTTTGATTAATTCTATCAATAACTAAAATCTTGGCCTAGTTAACTTTTAGTTTTCAGCAAATCGTGCTTCACAATGAACCGAGTCGACCACATCCGCAGCCTCGACGATTATTTCCACGAGCTGACGCGGTTTGAACATTTTTTAAAACCAAAACGTCTATTTCTAGACTCCTCGAACGTGAGACATGGGTAAATGCCGAATCTGCGGCCCAATTGCTGTCAATTCGGGACAAACACAGCGAGCTGAGATTTCTACAGGTGGCTTAAAATCATGTAAATGACTTTCTTCAGGTAGACCAGCTGGGAACTGCCAGAAATCGACCGTACATTGCGATGGAGGCCTTTGATTATATTGCTTGCTTTCATACGCAGGTATAAAAATTTTATCTTTGTAGATTTTCGCTTTTCAGGTGCTCTATTACCTCGAAAAAGGGATGTACGAGGAAGCCTACCAATCGCAGACCCAGGTAAAAACATCTAGCCGATTTATATTCGTCCGTTTTAGATTATCCAAACCATCAACACCGAGCTGATGCCCAAGATCAAGGAATCCAACTGGTACATGCCCATTTTGTACGCGGCAGCTCGGGATCTGCTCTACGTCGCAAAATTGGTAAGGCTTTTGCTTTCTTTCTTTTTTTTTGTAATACTCTTTCTAGGCCGACGACCAAACGGGTGACCAAGACGACGATGATCAAGCGGAAAAGACTACTTTTTATGAGGATAGCGCGAAATATTTGATGGAAAGCTACAGGACATCGGTTACGGATGCGTATGTTGAAGTTTAATAGTTTTGAACTTTTATTTCAGGCGTAAAGAACCACAAGCCACGAAAAAGATCTCAATGTTGAATCTCACGAATCAGCTGTTCCGGATCTATTTCAAGGTTTTTGAAAACCCCAATTAATTAAGAAGGCTTTTAGATTAATAAATTGAACCTGTTGCGACCGTTGATCCGCGCCATCGACAATGCCGGGATTTTGTACGACTATTTTTCGATGGCCGACAAGGTCACCTACAACTATTATCTGGGGCAGAAGGCCATGTTTGACAACGACTTGCCTCTTGGTAACTAAAAAATTGGGTTTTTAGTAATTTCCTTTCAGCTGAGAAAGCGTTGACATACGCATTCAACAATTGCCCGAGCGATCGGTTGCACAACAAACGGCTCATTTTGACGTTTTTGATCCCAGTGAAGGTATGTTTTGAAAATTGCTAAAATTACTATTGTTTTAGATGTTCCTCGGCCAAATGCCCAGCATCGAAATCCTCCAAAAATACAATTTGAACTCGTTTGTTGAGGTGACTATATCTTAGCGAAATTTTCAATGTGATTTTTAGTTAGTAGAATCCGTCAAAGAGGGCAATTTGGCACGTTTGGACGCGGCCCTACAGCACAACGAGGAGTTTTTCATTAGCTGCGGACTGTTCTTGATCCTGGAGAAGCTTCGATCGATAGCTTTTCGGACGTTGTTTAAGAAAGTGTGCGTTTTCTTGAGAGGTCCATTGGCAAAAAGCCAATTTCAACCTACCGAAATGACGCTTTTTCAGAGCTCACCTAATTGGCGATACACGTGTTCCGCTTGGCCGCCTTCATGTGTGCATTGACCGTCCAGGGAATTGATGACGTCGACGAGGATGAGCTGGAATGTATTGTGGCCACGCTTATTGCTGAGGTAAGCTTGCCAATAACTATGTAAAATCGGGTTTATTTACAGAAAAAGATCAAGGGCTACGTCTCGAATGTGCATCAAATCCTCGTGCTCTCCAAGCAGACCCCGTTCCCGCCGCTGTCGCTGATGAAGTGAAGAGGAAGAAATTTCAAGCAAATAAATCTCATGTGATTTCTGATCCATCGAAACGCATTTCGACACTGAACTCTGGAACTGTCGATTTGCGGCATCTCTCCTACGGTAATCCACCGAGCGTCACAAATAGCGGCATTGTAACAACGGCGCGCGGGTTCTTACGACCGGAACCGGAAGAACAAAAAGAAGCTGCTGGGGCCTGTAAAAGAGATCGGCGGCCTTGCTGGAGGCGCCTTCCAGAAAGCTTTTGCGAGGTGTCGTTGACAAGAATTGTTGGTTTTTGGGGCTGGTTGATTATCGGGGTGGGAGGCTAGATTTTTCCGGTATATCTTGAGGCGTTTCCTAATATTCCCATATATCTATGACGAAATACCATGTTAGTTGCATTTTACCTTTTCTAGATAAAAACAGTGAGAAAAAATTTTGATTTTCAGGAAAGCAGGATTTTGGAAAAATGTATGAAATTCGCCACATTATTTTGACTTTTTCTGAATTTATAGCTTTTTGATGATCGGAAGCTGCCTAAAGAATTTGCAAATAAGAAGAGCTTGACGCATTTTCCTGGGGTCAACTGTATTTGTATTATTGAGACTATTCCCACCCTTCATTCTCGACCACACGCACCCCGAAGAGGATTTAGACGCGTTTTCTATAGCCAAGTGGAACCTGCAAGTCTCGACCTCGAGGCTATTGTACTTCCCCTTCTGCCCCGGAGGCTTATTTCCAAAAATCGTCGCGTGGAGGCGGGCGCGAGACTTGTTTGGGCTTTGCCATTCACACGCCGCCCCATTGCCGCCGATTCCGGATGTAATGTTTGGATTTTCTGGGAGGAGGAGCGGCTATCGTAAAAGGTTGGATTCCCTCGGGGGTGTTTGGTTTTACCTTGAGTTTTATAAGGGTCTCGCTTGATTGAGATTTCGCCAAGCTGATTTTTTTTCAGCGGCTTGCCGTAAACTATCTGCCCCCCACCCATTAAAAGTCGTGTACTGAAAATTTGAAAGTGTGATACCAATTTCATTTCCACGCCCTTTTCACACCGACGATCTCCGATCCCTCCGCCTGAAGAAAGTGCGTGGATCGCCCGTTACGCGACGTCCAGTTTTCTTTTGGAGGGCTGACCCTGTCGGAGACCCCCGTTGGGTGGCTGTTTGCCCGCCGAGAGTGGCCGATTCGGGGGTGGTGTGGCCCGGCTGGCATTGTCGCGTTTTTCGGGTGGGGGCTTCTCATCCCAAGGCTATTGTTTTTGGACCGGATGGGTGTTGCACCGATTTCGGTAGAGACTTGCCTGTTGTATTTTTCAGATTTTTCCCGCCACGGAATTTTTATCTTTCTTGTTGGCCTTTTATCAGTTGCTTTTACATATTTACGAGATGCAGCTTTCAAAAAAAAATGGCGAATTTTATAAAATTAGAGAGCGTAATTTCGTACTGACAAGTGGCAAGGACGTCGCCTACGCGCGGCTCCAATGAACGCGTATGGGTTGTGCGCCTGGGTCTTTTTAGTTTAGATTATAATTCGTTACGCAACGTAATTGCGTGTGCCAAATCTGGCATTTTCGAGCTACCGTAATCGCAACACCGTAATTCCGGAGGGGATCCCAAGTACGGCGCGATACATACTGACATACACACGCGGGAATATATGTGGAGGAGCGCCTGGACATGACAATGACCACAATAGGGGGCTGCTCACGGCCACCCAAGTGTCTCCCGATCTCGCATAAGGACTGTTCTCCCCCACCCACCCATCTATCCAGCCACTCATCCCAACGACACCATACACCCATCGTCAGTCAGTTGCCTGCTGTTTGTTTTTAAAGGGACTGGGAAGCGCTAGAATCGACTTCTAAAGCGATGGGCTCTCGACAGCCAGTGGCGCTCCAGTGGCAGCGCATGAGCTCTAGCTAGCGGCATTTGTAGCATAGAGTAATTTCGACGCTTAGTAGGCGTACCGGCCGATTTTCGGGCTTATCAGCACCTTTAAAAGAACCTGGAAGTGTCAACATCGACCCCTTACATCTACTAGGTATCGATAAATCCTCTGGGCTCCAAATGATGAATTTCAGCTTGACGAACCCTTATTTTAAGCTGATTTGAATTGTCGATAGCTAGTTGACAGAAGTCGTCGATTTGCTGGTTTGCTAGGCCCTTTAAAGGGACTGGTAAGCGTCAAAAGCTACCCCTTACGACGACTAGGTGTTGATAGGTACCCTCGGCGCCAATGACGCGTCTCAACTGATAGGAGCCCGTATTTTCGAGTAGTATTGTCGAGACCCAGCTGAAGCTAGGGCTCGATTCGGATTCTTTCCAGCCTCTTTAACTGGCCTAAAAAGCGTCAAAATTCGACGCCTTGGGCCGGTTAGGTGACGACACGTGCTCTCCGCTCCAAATGACGCATTCCAACAGATTTGCTTCCCTTTTTTGAGTCCCACGTAGCGGTCGAGACCCAGCCGAGGAAAGGGGCTGCTTCTCGCGGATTCTGGCGCCTTTAGGTCACCAGGAAGGCATCAAAAACCGAGAAAATTCTCGGCATTCCTTACCGTAATCAATCAGGGTGTGGACCTCGGGTATAATTGAGTATGTGCAAACGGGGTGGACCGGATAATTCTCCGGGGCCCTCACCCATCCCGTAAGCTTCTTTCGTCTCGATCCGTTTCACGGCGGAGTGCCGCGGAAATTCCGCCCCAACCCCCCGAGGAACTTGACCCGCATTTCAAGTTGGGTTCGGGCCGTTTTGGTACACGAAAACGAAATTTTTGGGGTTGGAATTTTCGTGCTTTTCTTTTTTTCTTAGCGCTTTCTTTATTATTTTCAGTGTATTTTTTCGATTCTTCATTTTTGTTGAAACCTAAGCCCAAGCTTAAGCCTAAGCCGAAGTTGAAGCATAACCTAGGTAGTCCTAATTATAATCCCAAGCCTACGCCAAAGTCTAAGCCTGACCCTAACCCTTTATTTCTTGCCTTTCCGCGTACATCACGTGCGATTTTTCTGCTTTCCCGGTTTCCGTGTTTCCGTACTTTATCATTTCAAGTAGCCTTGTACATACAAAAAGGCGGGACTACACGACACTCCTCTTTCCGCATTTGGCCAAGTGCCATTTTCTCGCCTTTCCCAGGTGCCGTTTATTTTTGGCACTTGAATAATGGAAGCTGGGAAGGGCCGGGGAGCAACTGACGATTTTGATGCATAATGATTCTATTTTTGTCCTTTCTTGGATCTATTTAGCCGCTTTTTAGCAAAAACAGCAATGGTAGATAATTACGGTATATACGTAGTAAGGTAGATAATATAATGCGCTTATTAATTGAATTTCGGCTATAATTGCATGTTTTTTGAAGGTTTAAAGGGACTGGCAAGTCACTTTTTTGACGTTTTTGAAATCTACAAGAAGTACGTCACCCAAAAATCAAAAAACGCTTCTATTGGTGTGGGATTTAGAATTTTATCGGCAGATATCTAGATTCTGCGATAAGTACGTCGGTCCGTCGTGCTTAGTGCGTCGTTTGGCGTCTCACGTAGCTGTCGAGACCTAGCCGATTGAAAGGGACGATCCTTGCGCTTTCTAGATCTTTTAAAGGGCCCTGTAAGGCAGAAAGTCTAGGACATCTCGAAGTTTATGCTATTTCCTATTTTTTTGATTGTATTCTATCTGTTAAAATCAGCATAGAATAGCCCTAAAAATCCGCCACAGCTTTTCCTCCAAGTGTTTTGCTCATTTGTCCCAACTATCTTCTTCACGCTTCAGTCAAGTGCCATTTTGTCTCACCCATCAACTCCCATCTTCCAACAATAGCTCCCAGCCCCAGTAGCAGCTTCTTGAAATAACGGAATATTGGGATAGATTGATAGATAAGGGTATAGAGAGACATTGAAGAGAGGGGGAAGTGTGATGAGCCGTCATTTCACCCCCCTTCCCCCACTCACTACACAGCACTCCCTTTTTTACGACCTTCCCACAACCTCAAAACGGGTATTTTCTCGAAGGGGGCGAAGTGCCAATCGTGTTCTCCTCCTCCCGATCATCTACTGCCACCGCGGCAGCCCTTTTTGGGGTGATAATTTGACCCACGCGCTCGTGTGCTTGCAGCGCTCAATATCTCTCTCTGGCTCTCTCTCGCGCTCTCTCACTCGCTCTCTTCCGCTCTCTTCCGATCGTCTTCTAGTGATTACTGCTTTTTAAAGGGTTTCGTAAATCAAAAATGACTGTAATCTTTCTTTCCGATTCCCGATTTTCCATGTGACGTGTTTCTCCTACCGCGCTTCCTTAATTATCTCTGCCAGCCTCCCAGATTTGTTAGCTTATTTGGCTGATGAAGCTTACGGTTTTAAATTTTCTAATGATCTCTGCTAGCACGCTATAGGATCAGAATCTCCACGCTTATTCCCCATATTGTCACTTGGATTGGAGTGGACAATTGGATTCAAAAATCGTGTCGTCACAACATTTTCCAAGCCCGACCTGCTCGGCATCTCTAACATCCTCTCTCTCTCTCTCTCTCTCTCTCTCTCTCTCTCTCTCCGATTACCCCTCTTTTGTTTACCGGGAGCATTTCAAGCGGGCCGTCCTTCCACTCCCTGCACAACCGCGACACATACAAACAAACAGTCTAACGAGCAGCTTGGAGGAAAGCGGCAGCACATCTTTCCGTTTTTCCACCACAGACCCGTGAAGATGGATTGTTTTCCTTAAGCATTCCGCATTCTCTCTCTCTCTCTCTCTCTCTCTCTCTCACCGCATCCGTTTTTCTTTCTCTTTTTTTTTTGATCGTGCTTTCGCCATGCCCTTTTTTGTGCGATTCGACTGGATGGTATTTTCCCTTCCCCCGGGCGGCTCACCATGTCGGGAGCGCATTGAATACAATGCGAAAAAAGTAGTGGTTATTCTGCGTTTTTTTGCTGATTTTTCGGAATCATATTTTTTGCATGGAAGTTTGCCTTTTTAAACGAAAGTTTTCGCCTTTGACCCTGAAACATTCCTTATCAGCACTATCTGTATCT